TGGGGACTCACGAAGAGGGGAGGGTGGAAGGCAGGGAGGGGAGGGGTGAAAATTACCTATGAGGTATAAGGTTTACTATTTGGATAATGGGTACACTAGAAGCCCAGTCTCCATCACTACACGGTATACCCATGTAACAAATATGAATATGTACCCTATGAATCTAAAATTTGTTTTTTTTTAAAAAAGGAATAAGAGAGAACCTTGGTTGAGTGTGGTGGCTCATGCCTGTAATCAAAGCATTTTGGCAGGCTGAGGCAGGAGGGCTGCTGGAGCCCAGGAGTTTGAAACAAGCTTGTACAACATGGCAGAACCCTGTCTATAAAAAATTGCCAGCCGGGCTGGGTGGCTCACTCCTGTAATACCAGCACTTTGGGGGGCTGAGGCAGGTGGATCGCCAGGTCAGGAATTCAGCCTGGCCAATATGGTGAAACCCTGTCTCTACTAAAAATACAAAAATTAGCCGGGTGTGGTAGTGGGTGCCTGTAGTGCCAGCTACTCAGGAAGCTGAGGCAGAAGAATCGCTTGAACCCAGGAGGCAGAGGTTGCAGTGAGCCGAGATTGCGCCACTGCACTCCAGCCTGGATGACAGAGTGAGACTCCATCTCAAAAAAAAAAAAGAAAAAAAAATTAGCCAGACATGGTGATACATGCCTGTGGGTCCAGCTACCTGGGAGGCTGAGGTGGGAGGATCACTTTAGCCCAGGACTCCAGCCTAGGCGACAGGATGAGACCTTGTCTTTTTTTAAAAGAAGAAGAAGAAGAAGAAGAAAAGTTCCAGGTAAGGGGGGTAACCAAATAAAAACAACATCTAAGAAAGAGGAATTTGGCATCTATATACCTGGGAAGGGGAAAATCGGTATGTGCGTGTTGGGGAAGGGGGTGCTGCTACGGTGTGTCTGACATGAGAGACCTGCGCTGATGGAGAAGTTTCTTATTACCCACTACTCAAAACGTAACCCATAAATGGCACCATCTAGAAATGCAGACTCTCAACCCCCACCTTAGAATTAAGGAATCTTACACTGCCTTTTAGTCAGACTGGCAGGCAATTCATAAGCACATTAAAATTTGAGAAGCATTGTCTTAGAGCAAAGAATTTAGGACTTGTGCTTGGTTGCCCATAAGCTGCCAGAATAAAGTCAAGTCACAAGGGCAGTCTGGCTTTGGGGAGCTGGGCCCCCTCTGCCATGACCCCGAGAACAGCCACATTACAGACACACACACATCTCTACCCCCTCTGCCTGCAATATCCTACTTCATTTTGTGCGTCATGACTCAGAGGCCTCTTTAAGGCAGCTTCCCTGATGTTCTGCCAGCCCCCTACTTCCAGCCTCCCACTTCCACTCCCAAGAGGTGTTGATTCACCCCCTCCTCAGTCCCATGCCCAAACATCACCCACGATCCTTTTGATGTGCCTGACATACTGGTTTGGACCTGTCAGATTTCTCTCCTTTGGCGATACCCCGAAGTTTATCTCTGAATCTCTCATGCCTAACTCAACACACATCTGGTATACAGCAGGCTCACCACAAGTGCATGATGGAATGAATTCAATAAAACTGAATGTCAAAGACAATGGCTTATGGACAGCCAAAGTTCTTGGGACAAGCAGGAAAGAACCTGTCACAGGCCTGCTTCCAATTCTTTAATGTGGCAAAGTTGTACATTACTGGACTATAGTTCACAGCACAATTAGGAGGAAAACCACAGCTCTTATTTGCTTGCCGTAAACAAGAGATTCCCCAGAGCCTGAAACAATTTCTGTACCTTTATGTACTTCCAAAATGTTCCTGGATTTATGACTTGTATGACTCAGGAGCACACGGAATGGTCTCTGATCACAGATTTGATGGCATTTCTGCGTCAGGATACAAAAACCAGCTTACATCTACCCCACAAATGGACTCTGACTCCTGGGACACATCAGTGCGTTCAGAAAGTCCAGGGCCCCTCACAGTCAGCTCCACATTCTTCCAACACACCCCTGCTACACTCAGAGGCAAACAGCCTCTACCTTCTCACTGCCCAGCGATGGGTGTTTGGCATGTCTGCTCCTGAGCACAACTCAACTAGACTCAACATTTATTTCCAAATATTTATTCAGCACTAACCCGTTCAATAAATGGCGATTTGGGAGGACATGAAATGATACACAATCCTCAAGAAAATATGAGCCTGGTACACAAATCACAAAAAATCAAGTGAAAAGATGAGGCAGCTTGGGAAAGGTATGGACATGAGGCTACGGTGGTGCAGGAATGAGAGCCAGTCTGGGTAGCCACAGAAGCACCCAGAAAGAAGCGGCTTTGGAGCCAGTATAGGACACAGGAGGCAGCATGGACAGGTTAGGCTGGGACGGAGCCAGCTAAGCCGGGAGACAGAGGGCTGACTGGGGCAGGTGTCAGTGTTGAAGGAATCCTGAGAACTCAAACTTCTGGGTTCCAAAGACCCCCATCTCCATATCTCAAGTTCAAAGGCTGGGTACAATATCCTGACCTCAAAACCCCCAGAACTGCTGTTTTCCAGTCCCGCACTGTGATCCTGAAAGTGTGAGCAGAGAATCAGCCCTCTGGGGCAGTGGACCACATCCTCAGGCACTGAAGCACCATGCTGAGAGTGTTATCAGGACCAGTGGTAAGCATCAGGCCTCTCCATGGACAGACTGCAGCCAGTGGGCCTGTAGCAGCCCACTTTTGTGCCATAGAAAAACAGAGAAAATTCAGTTCCGGGAATATCTGGAGAGCACACAGGCCTGGTCTCTTATCCAAGTCCCCTGGGCTACAAAGCAACTCCCATCCTGGCATGCCTTGAAGCTTATACTACTGTGAGTTGCTGCACAGTGAGCAGACCCTGAATTCTGAAATCATAATTACTCTCACCCACAAAAAAGGACAAAGGAACTTCAATTTCTAAACAGAACAATGCATTTTCTTTTTTTTTTTAAGAGATGTAGTCTTGCTCTGTCGCCCAAGCTAGAGTGCAGTGGCACTATCTTGGCTCACTGTAATCTCTGCCTCCTGGGTTCTAGCAATTCTCCTGCCTCAGCCTCCTGAGTGGCTGGGACTATAGGTGCACACTGCTATGCCTAGCTAATTTTTTGTATTTTAGTAGAGATGGGGTTTCACCATGTTGCCCAGGCTGGTCTTGAACTCCTGAGCTCAGGCAATCCACCTGCCTAGGCCTCCCAAGTGCTAGGATTACAGGCGTGAACCATTGCACCCAGCCAGAACAATGCATTTTCACGTGGGCCTCTAAGATTGCTGGGGTATGGAGGCCAGCAGTCGTCCGTACTTCTGCAGTCAGTGGTCTTAGAAGCCAGTCAGTAATGGCCTAATTTTATTCACTCAGCAGTTTTGTGATGCAGAGATTTTCCTGTTTAGCCGCTAACACTGAGGCTCAGAGAAGTTCAGTAACTTCCCGTGTCACAGAGCCAGCAGGCAGCGGCATTACAACCTGGATCCGAGTCAACAGGGATAGGACTCCAAAGCTTGAAAGACCAACTTTCCTCCCCACACATTCAGAAGTGGGTTTTCATCTGCTGTAATTGTTGATTCACACACACACACACATACATACATACATACACACAGACACACACACACACAAAGAGAAAGAAGTGGGTCCTGGAGATCCAAGAGTATGATTCCCTTTGTCTTAAAAAGAATGTTTTTTTAATCACCTTATTTTTTTCAGTCATCATGTACAGTCAAACCATATTTACGCTAAAGGAAATTTACCATACACCAGATGTTCCTTCTCTTTCCTCCCCTTCTATCCCCCCACTTCCATTCAGGAAGGGGTCAGTTTCTCTGAAACAGAAGAGCAGGGTTGTTTGCAGAAGAGCCAGCCCCCACCTGACACAGCTATAGCATTCAGTTCCCCACTGCTGGGCTTATCTGATCCACTCTCTCCCACAGAAGGTGAAGCAGGATAAGGCCACAAACAAAAACAGCTGTGGCAGCTCAGAGTGGCAGCTCTGATCTGAACACGGGGGCAAGAGGAAGACCCAGTGGGGGTCCCTAGGCTAAGTTGAGTCAGCTCCTCCCCAGGCCCCATTTTTCTCAACTCCATAAGGAGGTTCCTAATGATCCCCAGTGACATCCGATAAGTCTAACAAAAACAGGTCACTTTGGAGTCAGAACATTCTAGGTTCCTCAACATCGCCCCTCGTTTCCCCGGTTGCAGTTTCCAGCTTTAAGACCCTGTCTCTTCCCCACACAACGCACCTTCCCTCCTCACATGGTCTCTAACCCTAACCTTGGACAGTTCAAACCTGGAAACAAGGCACTCACCATCTACGGTGTCCACACCTCTGCTTCTCCTGACAAAGCAGCATACCCAGGGGCAAGCAGGCGGGCCTGGGCGGGCAGCAGGGGGAGGGCTGGAGGCGGGACTAGGCCCCTAAGCTCAGTTGCTCCATAGGCAGGACCAGGCCACCCAGAAACCCTGGGGCTCCTTCAGCTGCCAACAATCAGTCTCCAGAAAACATCTAAATGGAAGGCTGCCAAGGCCCCCTAGCCCTTCAAAAAGTTGAGCAAAGTTTTGAGTCATTTGCAGTCATGCAGATTGTAACATTTCCCAAGTGCCAATAGACTCCTCTGCTATCTAGTGCAGGCTAAAGAAGCAAAGCCTGTAACACAGCCCACATGCCACACTCGTGGAAATAAAAGAAGACATCCCGTTCCCTGTGGCTCCTTATGCAGCCTGTTCCCTTGACCCCTTCCTCACCCCAGGCCTGGAAAGTCAGCTGGCGCCTGAGGCCCCTCACCTGCTTTCCCTCCCTTTTCTGCCACATCAGTGGCTTCCCTCAACCCACACTCCCTTCCTGGGTGACTTCTACTTCAGCGCTTCACCCACCACTTTGGTAATGACTTCCAAGTCCCTATTGCTGTTCCTGACCCAAAGTTTCCACTTGGGGGTTTTGGAGGTATCTCTGTTGTACCATGTCCAAAACTAAAGTTGATTTCTCTGCTGGAGTTCCCCGGCTCAGTGGATGACACAAGCATCCAGTTAACTGCTCAAGCCGGAAACTGGGGGGACGGGGAGGTCACATTTGAACCTTCATTTGCCTTCACTGCCCACATCGACTCAATCATGAAGTTCTGTCCATCTTCTAAAATGTATATGTTATCCATCCTCCTCTCGACCTCATCGCTGCTGTCCAAACCCAGGACCCTATAACTCTACCTAACATATTTTAAGAACCATGGAACTGAACCTGGCTTGGCTCTAGTCTGGTCCTCTACAGTTTATTTTCCATGCTGTAGCAAGAGCCATCCCAGTACCCCCAACCTGATTACGTCTTTCTCTCGCTTTCAGACTCTCAGTAACAAGAAACTCCTCAGCATGCCACCTGACGGGCCCACCACAGATTGGCTTAGGCTCACCTTTCTGGCCTCATCCCTGCCACTACAGCACCCTTGCCAGACCACTCGCTGTGCAAGTGTTGCTCACGTTGTTTCCTTTGCCTGAGATGCCAATCCCCCACCCCATGTCAACCCAGTAAATGCCTACTTATTCATAAGGTCCGACACGCATAACACTTTCTCTCCAAAGCCCTTCCTGAAAGCCCCAACAACTGACTGCTCATTCACCTCTTCTCTAGCATCCATGCGTGTGCGTACACACTCACAACCCTGCAAAATGCACAAATGGACTTCGTAAATTTTAGTTATGTACATGTCTGTCTTCACAACACAGTGGCACAATGCGTTGTCGTCTTCATGCTTCCAACCCCAGGACTCAACACAGTTCCTGGTAATTACCAGGCATTACATGTTAATGAAACGATCTGAATTTTACTCTTAGAATTCCACAGTGAGGCAGACTTGGAACTTACAGTTACTCAATTCCAATTTCAGCTCAGTATAAAAGGTAATTTTGGACAGGGCTGGATTGACATTAAAGGAAACAATCTAGTTAAGGTTACCTAAGGACTTAGGTAACCTTAGGCGGGGTTCTCGCTCTACTGCTCACTAGCAGAGCGATCTGACATAAGCTAAGACACTTGGGGCCTGGATCTCATCTATATAGACAGAGGAAGGAACTTGAAATTCTATGAGGTTGTCTCAGCTCTGACATCCAAAGATTCGAAAGTACCATGTGATGGCAACTACAGGGATCTGATGTCCAGAAAGCCATGGGGACCCCTGCCACCACTGTCCTCCTGCTGGGTGCGCACATTCACACTGCCTCCTTCCCTGGGCCTAACTCCCAACTGTTCTAGGAGCTGCCACTGGGCAGGAACTGATGAAGTCTTAATGAAACAAAGTATCAGCACTGGGTGGGTTAATTCATGTTTGAAACAAGTAGAGACAGGATCATATTCTAACATCAAGGGTACACCTGCCTAGGCCAGCCCCACCCAGGGAATCCTCCCTCTTCAGAATGAGCTGGCCTGAGGCAGAGACAGGGGAGAAGCAAGAAAGGGTGCTGAGGGAGACAAAAAACTACAGTACACATGAGCTTCCTTGCCTCAGGCCCTCAGTGAACAGGCTTGAAAGGAGGCTTCATCTTCCTCCTCTCGTCTCCTCTGTTCCCCTCTCCTTCCTTCAAAGCTCTAATTCAGCTTCTCTTTTACTGTGTAAATGAAGAAACTAAGGCTCAGAGAAGAGGCTGGATAGTCCAAGGTCACATGGGCAGGGCAGGTTGTCAGTGGCTGCGCTGGGACTCAAGTCTGGGTCTCCCAACTTCCAGTCCATGACTGTCTATCCTGCATTGGACACTCTGGGTCCTGGGCAGCCAGCCACAGGCCAGTGGCCTCTGATGCTGGAACAGCATGGGAGTCTGGGCTTAGGAAGTGGTGGGCCCCGGCAGGTCTTGAAGCCTGTTCACTAGCCTCAGGCAAGCTAGGAGCAAGACTTCGCCTAAACAAGCCTGAGAAATCTGCTGTCTAGAGAGAACATCAGCCTCTCCCAAGCCCAATCCTTGGTAAGCAGTTTATAATCTGAAGCTAAATGTCTTCTTAAGGGTCTCACTGCCTAGTCTCAGGTGAGAAGCATTCTGCTCCTCTCCTCCCCACAGTAACAACACTCTGTCCATTCTTGTCTAGCAGACTGATGACGCAGGCACGCAGGGCCTTATGAGCAGCAGATATCCTTCCACCTATCCTTGTCTTTAAACACCACAAAACTACTCACTTTCAATGAGCTCTCACCTATCTGCCTCAGTCTCTAACACTCAGCTTTGCTCCTTGGGGTGTGTGTCTGCCTGGTTCTGGCCCAGCCCTCTTCTCAAATGCCAGATTCAGAAACCTCTGAATAGATGCTGAAAGCAGAACAAGAGGACACAATCAGCTACTGTGAAACCCTGAGATACAGCCAAGAGTGAGGAATGTGGGGGCTGGGAAGGATCTTTTCCTCTAAGTCATGCTCAAGCTGCAGGGGCTCCCCAAAGCGCAAGCCATTCTACTCTCATTTGCACAGTCTCTTGTCTAGGCTCAGAATAGCAGCTCCATCAAGTTATATGGGTGTGTGGATAGGAAGACAAGGGCAACACCACAAAAAACCATGGGCTAAAAGCCAAAAAGTGCTGTTTTTTCTCTTTAACTTTGAGAGCTCATCTCATCCCTCTGAATCTCAGTGTCTTCTTAAAAACAAGGGCACTTTAAAGAGTTGTCATAAAGAATATAAGAGAGCAGCAATGTGCAATGCAGCAACACACTAGAGAACTGTAAAGCAGCATTACTTTTCTCTTCTTTGCAGGGCTCAGATTCACTCACACCCCTATGAAGACAGGACCTCTGAAGTAGGACAGACACAAAATACTGACCTTCTGCAGGTGTGTCACTGCAGGTCTGCTTTCTGGTGAACGTTCGATGTCTGTTGGGAACACGCTTGTCTCTGCCCCTCTGGCCAGCATGCTACTCCTGCAGCAACCAACACTGCCTCCTGCACTAGCAGTGCCACAGAAGGCAAAGGTCCAGCTGTAATTTCCCTGTGCCAGAGGTCACTGAGCTCAGAGGTGAGGCTGGCTCCCTGCACAGCACCTCGGGATGGTTCTTGCCACACAAGCCTCAGCAGAAAACGACTTGGAACTTCTCAACATTTCACAAAGAGGCAAGAACCCAACTAGCAGGACAGATGCCTTATTTCTTAGGAACAGAGCCTGGGGCTTGAGCCACAGAGTTCCAGTCCTATCCAAACTTTCTGAGCACCATTTAAATGACACAAAATGATGAGACAATTATCAGAAATGTCATTTGTACCCCTTCAGGAGTAAGGCAGAAGGTCTCAACTAAATGGTATGCCCTTATAAAAGAGAGGGATATAGGAAAGACCGAACCAAGAATACCTAAGATGTAACTTTACTTCTTGCAAGCCTTATAAACCTGGACAAGGAACTGTTTCACATCAGTAAAATGAGAATGATTCCTTTATTACCTTCTACAGAGTTGTAAGAATTAAAGGATTAAATGTACACGAGGTGCCCTGTGAAGTACCGTACAAAAAGTGCGATAAATACGACGTATAATTTTTCCTCATTTCTAGAACAATGGTTGCCCTCAAAATGTTATTTGTACACAAAATGGAGAGTTTTCTGATGAATGAGTATGGTAAGGAGTCGGGGTCTGCTGTCGGAATCCCAATTCTCATTCTCCAAAGCTGGGCCCACGCAGGAGCACTGGAGACTATTCAAGCTGACTCCTTCACAATGCTTTTCATAACAAATCCTGATTATTTTCTTTTTTTAAAAAAACCAACTGCCAGGTTCAAAGGAAAATACATTAAAGTAAAACGAAAAAACCTAAGCTGAGTTCTGGGTTGTTGGGCTGTGGAGACAGCATGGCGTAGTAAGGAAAAGACGCACAGGAGCAGCTGTGAATCCCGGTCTGGCCATAGACTCCCGGGTGCTCCCTCCCCACAACCCTGGCCCTACTGAGCGTTAAGTTCCCTCCCTTTGCCTCTAACGATCTCCACCTGCGCCTTCACCGCCCGCTCCAGCAACAACCTCGGGGGCAGCCTGTTCAATTGGTACCTTGCTCATCTTTTCATTTCCGGACCTGAGCAGGGCTATGAAATTTATAGCTGGGCTCTACCCAATTTAAAGAGGGGCGGTTGTGACCCTTGGGAACGAGGGGGAACAAGTGCCACCGAGACGCCGAACAAAGCTAGAAAACGCGTCCTCTAAAAAGACACGACCGTAAACTGGCACAGGGGCGAGGACGGCCAGGTCCGCACCTCCGGCTAGCCGGTACGCCCCCGGGGCCACGCTCCAGGACAGAGCCCTCTACTCTGTTCTTTGTCCCAACAATTCGCGAAGATCGGAGCCACCAGCGTTCCTCAAGGCTTGAGGGCGGGGACGAGGGGACCCTAGCCCGCCGCAGCACCGCCCCGCCCCCGCCCCGGGTCTCCAAAGTCCGTGCGCCGGGTTTTTCCACCCGCAGCCGCGCGGGGCGGGGGGGCGTCGTCCTCCGAGAGAGCGCCGGCGCCGCGGCAGCTCCTAGGGGACCTGGTGCGGACCCGAGGGACACGCCTCACCAGCCCAGCACCCATCCTACCGCGCGCCGCCGCTTC